CTAATGAGAGTATATTATTTCAAACAAATGAAGAGAAACATTTTATGAAAAATTACTCAAGTGTACCTATAATTTCGATTTTGATAAATAGGCAAAACTATGCTGGCTATATAAAAAATAAATCAATGAATGCCTAACAACTAATGCCAACATCATTATTCTTTTTTTTCTTTTTTTACAATCATAATAAGGTTTGTGGTTCCAGAGGTGCTCATTACTGACATTCATATCCTCCTTCGCATTAATAAGTATGAGGGGCCCCCCTCTGTAGCCCATCTTAGTGGTCATCATCAGTGTACTATATTCACAGTCTTCTAAGGGAGAGTTAATCCATCTCTGCTGCATTGATGCTGCGACTCTGCAGAGGGAAACAGAGTCACTTGGGAATGTCTGTCTGGGGCCGTACCGGCTCTACTGCCACAGAATGGGGTACCAAAGGGACACCAATTAACTGAGTCTCAGATGAGAAAGAAAAGAGAGCAGGATAGAAAGAAGGTGAAAAAGGGTTACAGTGAGACTTTTCACTGTCATGCGCTGCCATTAGTCAAGTGAAGCCCACCGGCAAGTGTTCTATGGCTGTGATTTGTTGTTCAGACCATATAGTATGGCGTGCATATCTCAACAGCTTAATTGCTTGTATTGCTGCATGTATCGCCCAACTCTAATCTGCTAAATGCAACTATAAGGCATGAAGATATTAAGATGTTATAAACATGATTTTTCATAAAGCTGGCCTGAAACAATATGTATTGTAAAAAGCACTATAGAAATAAAATCTTAATTGAAGTTGAATAGCATGCAACATAATGGATACAGATTGATGCTTGATTTCAATTTAATTTAAACACAGTACAGTCTAGTGTAAGAATGGACAGTTTATAGGTGACCATTTCACATCCATCATATTAATTGATTGGCATCAGACTGTTGATGCCCCCCCAATTAAAACAATTAAATTTTTCCAGTGCAGGCTTGAAATTATCTAAGATTAAATAGATAAAGATTATGAAGAAATTTAAAAATTACTATAAAAGCTACTTTTATAACAAAAAATATATACTGTATATATATAAACAAAAATACTAAGTATATGATTAATTTAAGTCAATACAATACAAATAAAACGATTATAAAATATAATAAAATAAGCATAAATGTAAAATACATTAAAAAAAAATTGTAATTTATTTATAAAATAAACAAATATCTAAAAATCTAAAATTAAATACAATTTAAAAATTTCAATTTAAACAAAAAACCCATTAACAAATTAGTAGATTTTTATTTTTTTAAAATTCTGCAACTGTCAATAAACTCACTAATCAACACGCAGGCTGATAAAATCATTTAAGGGATGAAGTAGCAAAAATAAAAAAAGGGAAATTGTTGATGAGATGCACTGTTACCAACATAATAACCAGACTAGTTACTACTGACAGACTGAGGGTTACTATGAGTTTTACTGCAGTTAATTAAAATGCGCTAAATGAGTCCAGATTTAGTGATGTGAGAGACCGTAAAATCAGAATTCCTCCATCTCTCAATGCTCTCGCATCTGTCCTCGCCCCCTCCGCCGCTCCCGGTGGCTGCCCACCCCCGTCTCATTTCCCTGCCCCCCATTCATTTCATGCTGAGTGGATGAGTGAGTAACTAATATGGATCAGACCCAGACCAGACAGACAGCAGCACCCCCATCCCATCCCATCCCATCCCAGTTTACTGCCTCTTCCTCATCTGTCCATCTTGATTTTCCCATCTATATCTTTGCCCGTCTCATTGCATATTCCCAGTTTGTCTTTTTCTCTGTTCACTCTCATTCTTTTTATCCTCTGTCTTCTGAATGGATGACGCACATGTGAAAATGACAATGAAACAAGAGGGAGGTGATAGACAACATAAAGGGAAGGAATGGATTGAACAATCATGCCAAAAAAAACCCCCAGAATGGATAGACTAAAAATATATTATTCACTAGAGTAAATTTTTTCTTTATTTACATCCCTTGTACATATAAAACAAAAACAGAATCTTCTCATCTTGTTGTTTGCAGTCACCTTGCTCTGTCTGTTCCTTCTCTTCATGCGGATTCCACCTTGCCTACCTTCTTTCATCCTCATCATTCCTTCTCTAACCTTCCTTCTTCCACCTTAATTTATCCAGCCCCACCAAAAGCTAATCTATATGCTAATAAGTAGATGGCAATCAATGACGTTCATGCCCGTCTGTGTGCAATCAATATATTATATGAGAGAGTACATTTCAGAATAACACAGCCCAGAGGTGTTACACAATAAGTGCCTCAATTTACTTTTCAGGACAGTGCCATTCTTATCTCCTCCTCCAAGGTCAGAAAGGCCCCCTTGTATGTATATTTTCAATTTAGTAGGGCCTCTTCAGAATGACCAGAATGGTCTTTTGTTGTGCCCCGAATTAAGCGGGTCCCACAACCCTATTCACTTTCTGTAGCACACACAATCTGAATAACACATCGGCCGCATGCAGTCTGTTTTTCATGAGTGTGTGGTTTGATTGTGATTGCCACAGTGGTTGGGGGTTTATACCCTTTGCTAAGTGATGCTCTAATCGCTGATTATTAAGAGGCAGCCTCATCAGCACAACAGTTCATCAACTAACACTGTGAACTGCAGTGTTTTCTGACTTCACTGTGTCTGCGCTTGGTGTCTCTTCTTTGTCTTTGTTTTTAGCACCACCATTAAAGGTGCTGTATGTAATTATTTGACTGTACTAAAGCATACAAATACTATATGTTATTATTATTTGTATTTTTAGGAAACATAAACGTTCACTTAAGCATTTCTCTGAAAAACAATGCTACAGCCAGTTATTCTGTTTTGATATGTGTGTTCCGTGTCAGAATGTCTGTTTTTGTTTTGGTCTGTTTGACTCCGCCCACTGCCCAATTTAACCATTAGTATTTTGACACCCCGGGTTGCCAGTTGTCACAAAACACAGTGTATTGCTGCTATGGAAGTGAGCAAACAAACTGCGTCAGAGATTGCAGATTGTACCCAGCATTCATCTAAAAAGATCTATGACCAGAGGCACATTAAAACTCAAATTAATTTAACTAATCTACTTACAGTGTAAAGCCT